CACACACACACACACACACACACGCTGGATATACAGAAATGTCAGCTTCAATATAATTTACTATCCAGTAACTCATGATACAGACAGAAAATTGAAAACCTATTTACAATCCAAATCAATGGGATATCAGTGTCATTCATTGCGTCCATACGGCGCATAAAACTTCATTAGCTTGGCGACACACTAATAGATTTTCGGCGAAATTGAAATATCATGGATGAGGCTGACACGTCCAGTGTTTCAGTGTGATTTAAACCAGGAAGAAATAAGGCTTTGAGAAAGTGAGGGGAATGGGCAGACACTTTTATGAAGATGGACACACTAAATCCGGCATCACCATTGGCAGCTCATAAATATCATCATCCCTGAGATAGAAATGGCTTGTAAATTGACCATAAAGCACATATACACACAGTGTGTATGGCTGATTTAGCTGCCTGCCACATTGAGGGATATACTGTAACAGATGTGTGAAGAATGTTTATTTTGTGGGTGATACAGTGTGTGTGTGTGTGTGTGTAGGGTATGCACGGAGGGGGAAAGGGGAAGACCCTCGGGAACGATGTACCACCGTGGGGTGATCTCTGTATCCCCATAGGCTTAAGATAAACCATGTACAGCTGTGTTTAAGGGGGTTAACCGAGTTAATACGAGCGACATAGGAACAACATACAGGCGTATGCGCGGACACACACATGCATGGTTTGCAGCAAGATGAGGAGAGCTGCTGAAATAACACTGTGCCAGCTGGCAAAAGGATCCACACAGACACACAGAGACACACGCGCACCTCCCTCCAACCCACTTGACTGCATTAAAAAGGAGGCTTCATCAAAGCTATTCATGTTGCCTCCATAAGTCATCATCTCATTTGCAAGACAAATGGGGAAGTCAGATTGGTCAGTGCATTTTAATAAAGAGCCGAGCCCTGAGCTAGCGTCCTCGTCTCCTCCTCTGCCCTCACAGATGCAGGCTTTCACACTGCAGGACCATATTTCATGAACCGCTAATACAAACAATCGAATTCATACTTTAATACCTGTATGACAATACCCTGGCGGGGACTGTTGCCATATGTCACTCTGCTTCTAATGCAGGAAACTGTTCTTTTCTAACAGTGTCAGAAGGTCAAACTCCTGTGGTGTTGGTTTAGAGGATGCAGATGTCAAAATATTATCCCTCTATATATATATGATTTATGTACCTTTGACTTGGATTAAACATACAGTATATCTAAACTTAATACACACTGTAAGACACAACCCTGGCCCTTTGTGTGTGTGTTTTTTTTTTTAATAAAACAATATTGGACATCATTCAAATGAAATGAACTGAATTATTACTTTTAAGGCCAACCTGACTGACAGAAAAAAAAGAAAAGAAACTTGGAACACCTAAAAATTCCTAACTGTTGTGCAAACTTCATCTGCTAAGACCGTGAACTCTCATCAAAAGCTCCAAAACAGCAACTCATGACCTTTTGCCGACAAACCATGCTTATATCAACTCTTAAACTGATATTGGATGAAGAGTAAAAGACAGCCAGAGAACACTTCGCAAAGAAATTGCAAAGCAAACAAACATTGCTTGTACATTGATCTCGAAAACAGCAAATAAATGTGACCTATTTCTTTGATACTGAGCTCCAAACAGTCACACAAATGGATACTGAAGAATCGCTTATACCAGTCTGTTGTAACGCCAAGTGAACACAAAGGACATTTAAACATTTTTCTTTAGTGTCTTGCATGTAAATGATCTGTTCTGTTCATTATTCTGAACCAAATGTACTATAAGAAAACACCTTGTGTATTTAAGCCTTCAAGACAAACCTGTGTGTCCTTGGATTTAATTAATATATGCTCATGCAGACCACAGATAGGATGTTGCTGCTATGATAAAAAATAATTATACAGTCCTATTTCCATTTGATCCAAGCATGTTTGATCTAAACATGGACCAGTGACCTTAACATTAATTTCATAAGGTCATTCGATCCTGACCCCTCGTGGAATGACTATTGTCACTGTAGATTGCAGCACTATTGATTTGCTGTGCTTTGAAAGCTATCTGATTATTGAGATCCACAGACTGTTGATTTAGCTCTGTGCTTGCATTGAATAATTAAATGAGGCCAATAGCGTTGTCGGTATCTACGCATTTCATTCTTCAGATGACTCCGAGAGATACCCTCAAAATCTGAGTACAATGAACGAAAACAGATCTGACACATACTCAAATCAATGGCCTGGTAAAGGTTTGGGCAAACCGCGACCACCCCCTTCAAACGCCCAGCTTTTGTTGCTTTAGTGTGTAAATTGATTTACAAGAGGGGTCCTCGGATGTGACATTGGACTTAAAAAACCTCTTTGCTTGTTTTTATGTATTTATTTATTTGTTTACAAAAAGCAATTTTAGTCCTTTCTCTGTATTGATTTTTAAACAGCCACAAAGTTTTCCCTTGTCAAGTGGCAGGGGGGCTTAAAACCTCTTTCACACCTCTGGTTCCACTGGTGAGTCCATTTTTTTTTTGCTCTTTCTTCTTCTTCTTTTTTTTTTAACATTCTTTGTGAAACACACTGGACTTTATTTTAAATCCTAGAAGAGGCCCCAGAGCTCCCAGAGATGACAAAGATGTCAGGCTGAATTGCCGGGAAATGTGTTTGGAAAGACTTGATATCTCCATTTGATCTAAAACTGAAATTAGTAACAGCCACCTATGGTTCAGTGAAGCCTTGCACAAAAAAAAAAAAAAACCCAAACAAAAAACTGGACACACAATATCTTGTGTTTGAAGCAATTACAGAAACTTAAAGTCAAAGTAAAGCTTTTAAAGTTTTGCCATCATATCTTGTTTTCTATTGGAATAAAATTGCTTCACAGAAATCTTTGTAAATTCTATATTCATATGTTTTATTCTCACAAAAATAGATGAAATGAGCCTTTACTGGCTGAACGCACAGGCGTGCTGATTGCAGTCACGTGACTCCACGCTAGCTTCATTATACTAATACCTGTGTGTATTTACATACCTTCTAGCTTAAATAAGTTCTAAAAATGTCTTCAAACAACAGTTTTTATTTATTTCAGACATGGTCCAGGAATAGATTCGAGGTAAGACACGTTTTTCAAATGTTTTTCACTTTTTATTGCGAATTTGAGCTATTTTCGTCAGTTAGCTTGACTTTAAAATAAACGATCTGCGTCACAGCCAGATGTTTTGCCATAAAGTTTAGCCTTTGGTCCTCCAAGACTGCTCGTTTCTTATATTTCTCTATTTCATTCTGACCTAACTGAAGGTCTCCTCCAGGTTTCTGGTTTTTTTTTTTCTTCTATTACTGGCAGGAATAACCTACTTTCTGAGGCAGTAAATCACTATAATATAGCACACTGATGTAATTTGGCTGGAGTTTTTCTGAGCAGTTTGTGGCGTGTTGGTTTTGTACAGGAATTTTGTTAAAATCTAGAGGAGAGAGGGAGAGAGAGAGAAAAAAAGGGGTTACACGGTCGTAAATGGTCACAGGGCATTGCAGAGGCAGTGGAGCACTTTGCCTCGGTTTGTATTTGTCAGTGTCAGTGGCTGTGAAGTTTCTTTGGCCTGTAGGTGGGGCTCTGATGCAGTGTTTCAAAGAGAGGGATCCCTCTGGAAGTGGGAGGAGGAGGGAGAGGAGGAGGGAGGCTGAGGATGTTGCTGCAGCCACGATGCCTCTCCAAAAGACCCCATAATACATGCAGGCACAAGCTGCAGATTGAAAGGTCTTGGGGGTGCTGATCCCTGGGATTAATCCTTTGATAAAGTTGTTTTCCACTGTTTTGTGGCTTCATTGGGCTCAATCTGCAAATTTCGCACTGTTTGGAGCACTTACATCCCAACAAGGCTCATTTAGAAAGTTGCCCTATGAATTAGAAAAACAAACAAACAAAAAGTCCTCTCGCAATCTGCAGTATTCACTCAATAGATTTGTTGAAAATTGCCTTTATATGAAGATTAGAGGGCTATTTTATGAAGATGCATTATTCCTACCCCCACACCGCTTGTTTTTCCTTGTTAAAGACACGATTACATAATTAGTCTTTTAGATTATTAATTGCTTAAAATGTATGATTGGGGGGGAGGAGGATACACTCCTGAGGCATGTTAAAAGATCATCAATGAACAAAAAAAAATGCAGCTTCTAATCCCCTACAACTATGCAAGGGTCGTGATTATGTCGCTGTGTTGCCTAATCTCTATCTTTAAATGATCCTGCGATTAGGTATTCAAATCCGATGATCTGATCATTTCACCCCGGTATTGTAGCGTATTTGTGTAAATTCCCCTTTGGCGTTGCCAAATCCCATTCTCAACGGGATGAATGCATTAGCCTACATAAACCTCCTCCTGGCTGCGGGACCCATACCTCACTGTATAAACCTCTATTTTAACAAAGCATAAGCTCTTTTTTTCTTTTCTTTTTTTTAATCCTGTCATATTTTCTTGGGTGAAAAATGGGCCACCTTTCAGATAGATAGTGGGACTCTTACCTACCTAAACTTAAATTCTTCTTCATTGTCTGACTGCAGCTGTCAGTGGAGGAAATTGTGTCATAAAAGTGATCATTTTTGAGCTGTTGTGTGGCCATAATGCCACTCTCTCATTAGGTGCTCATTAAGGCTCTTTAATGCAGCTGCCAGGGACGAGATATTTACCTCCCACCCCACCTGATCTGAGGTGTTACTGCGGGCGAAGTCAGGTGAAAACCTTTTACAAGAGGCGAAGCTCCATCCTGCTCCTCCGGCTCCTCCCGGCCTGGAGATCCGCTGTGAAGCTGCAAAACTCCGAGGCACCTCTCTCTCTCTCTCTCTCTCCCTCTCTCTCTCTCCCCCCTGCGTCCCTCCCTCCCTCCCTCTCTCTCTCTCTCTTTCGCACTCCGCTGCAGCACCCTCAGCACCTCAGTTGAGCAGGAGCACCGCACTGAGTCACATCTCTGCACACACGCTCTCTACACCGCACACACATGCACACACGCACACACACGCACACAAGCACAGCCTCCTGCGGTATCCCAATACGGCGCAGCGGCTTTTCCAACGGCATACCAAGTGCGTCCTCGCCGGGAGATGGGAGGTGCGGCTCCCGGGTCTCAGAGCACTCAGAGCGGCTTAGTAGAGTCCTGCTGATCGGGGGATGCTGCTGGAAGTCTGCTGCTATTTCTTTTTTTTCCCGTGCAGGAATCGCCTTCTAACTACACCTCTACCGGGAATTTAAAGTGGACAAGCCGTTTGACCAGGATATAACAATTATTCTAAGCGTTTTTTGGGGGGAGTGAAAGGAGTTGGGATTGCTCTTGGACGTGCCTCTTATCCGCAGTGTCGATGCGGCTGCGGCTGTGAATGATATCTGCATAGATTACAGGTAAGGAAGGAAGGCTTGACACGGGGGTAGTTGCCACAACCGGGATTGTTTTTAGTGGGCTTTGGTGCCATTATGGCCGGGTTTGGGGTGTGAGGTTGCCACTGCACCAGCCAGGTGACGGGAGGCGTGTTGCACCTGTTCTAGCTGCGCCATGCCGGCTCTGCGCACTCCGGCGATCGGGCGGTTTTTTTTTCAGCGAACCTGTCCATTTGGAGCCTGTAACGAGCCCTGGGGAGAACTGCAGAAATGCCTGCAATTTCGCTCAACTTGGGACCTTTCATATGTGCTGGATTCCCTCCGTTTTGCGCGTCATATCATCCGTGCCCTTCATCCCATGTGAGCCTCAGAAGAGCTGCGTGCCCAAATTGTGCTCGCTCCTCTCGCGGCGTTAATCTGGAAAGGTTGAAAACTAAAAAGATTTGACGAGGATTGCGCGTCGGATTTACGCAGTGTCTTCGGGGATGAAAAACAATGCGTAGGATTAGCATTTAGTGTAGACTCCTGCATTTCAAATGGGATTTCGGTCGTGGCTTTAATATAAAAATGAGGGGGAAAACTTAAGTCTGATATTTTACTCCTCATCGTTTAGTCAGGATGCTTAGCAGCTGACTACGCGGCATGTTCAGATTTAAAACAGGAAACGTGAATACAGCGTGGTGCGTTTAAAAACTTCTTCAATCCGTGCCGATTTGGAGCATTTCCTCCTGCTTCTTTATGGATCCATGTTTGACTGATTTTAAGCAGCCTGCAACTATTCAAGCATGCTTCTGAAGAACTTTTCTGAAGCCAGCTGTTCTGCTTCTGGGTTAAATATCTCGCGTTAAGATTTTTAAAAATTTATTTTTATTTTCAGTATCCACAAAGTGTAACTGTGCCAACTGCCAAATTTGCGGAAAAGTCACGTTGCGCGATGCAAGCATGAACCTTGGCACATTTCTCCCTGTGCGGCTCCCAGGATCGCAGGGGTTGTGGCAGAGCTTCTGAACTTGACCGATGTGGCTCAGACAGAGCTTCCCAGGAAAGGCTTGACTCTATAGGGGCAGCCTCCTCACGTCCACACAAAACACTGCAATATCGCTGCAGGGACTTGGTGTCTGAGAGTTTAATGTGACTTTGTCTCAACTCTTGGAATTTTGCTTTAATTTTCCTTTAAGATCACACTGTTATGTAGGTTTAGGGTAAACTGATTTTTGCGGGAGTGTTGCAGTAAGGAGGACACATTTATGTTAGCTTTTGTCTTTGCATCCACACAGTTTCTTAACTTAAATTACTTTTTGTTCATATTAAACAGGTTATAAGCCAAGTTGTGGTGGTTTGCAAATGTTGTTTTCAGAATATGGACAGACTTTCTGAAAGCAGATTTAAACAAATCACTTGCAAAACTAAATCTTTTTCTGTCTTATGATGCCTAATTGCAATCCAGCAAACCTGCCTGCTTTTATTTACTGTGATGGTTTAGCGGCATCACATTGACATAATTCATATAAAGTGGATTTAATTTGTCTGTGGAGTTGTGCCACAGAGAGTTAGTCAAGTTGTGTTTTTTTGAAACAATACTTAAAGTTTAAGAAAGTTGAATTCTTTGTAAAATGATTCATTTGGTCCTGTTTCTTTGTTACCAATGGGTTTTGTCTGCAGTCTAGTTGTGCACAAGGTTAATCATGTCCTTTTGGCTCGGCGTAGCTACGGGTCATTTCCTGGCATTAGTGTCATGTGTACTTGAATGGGAAGGTTTGTTGAAACTAGAGCAGATTTTTTATTTTTTTTTTTGTAGAGATTAACGCAAAGGGCATAACGCTACAGGCTCTTTCGACACACGGTATCTTCAGCCGTGTAGTCTGATGCAGGTCTTTGACCCCAAATGCGGCTTCAGCGTTCATCTCCCCTCGTCTCTCTCGTGCTCTATCACTCCCTCCTTCCTTATTTCCCTTCCTCCCACCCTCGTTTGCATCTCATGCTCAGAAAGCAGCTGCTCCAGCTTGTGCAAAATGCAGATTCCAAGTACAGCAGTCGCACTGAGCACTCCGAGCCCCTCTACCGGTTTCTCCCTCCCTCCATCCACCTGCCCTCCAGACTCAATGCATCAATTCAGTGTCGCCCCTTCAGTGCCCATTACCCTACACTTAATGTAAAGCATTGTATTGTTGGTACACAAATATCTCACAAGGTAGCAATTATACATCCCTAGTTGTGTTTTTAATGACCTCTCCAAAAGTCTTACATACTTGTTTAGTGCACACTCAGCAGAGCCTGACTGGAGGGATGAGGCTATATGCTGGAAAATCCATAAGGGGCAGTGTGGTTCACAGGCTGCTGCGGTGAATAGATTGATCCCATACTAGGCTTTTGTTGGCATCAATTTTGATTGAGTTCTTGTGCCACCCTTACATTATGTATTACTTTTTACCAGCAGCTGGTCAGAAGATACACGTGTTTATCAGCACATATGCCAAATGTTACTTTTACTATGAAATCATTGTTCAACAGAAGGTGCTTCATGGCATTAGTGTAGATGTGCTGTGGAGTGGGAAAAAAACATGATTTACATGTATTATTGAATTTTATGCTGTTTGTATTAAGATAGCCTGCACTGGCACCCGAGTCACTTTGGTTCTTTTAATGGGCAGTTGGAAAGAGATCAGTTTATTGCTGTTTAAACTACCTGTGATGGTGAGGTAATGGACACTAGCTTGCTCGGAAAGCAAAGTGTCTTTACGCCAGGCTGAAGTGCTTCTGCATTTCTGTACTTCTGTAAATGTGGGTGGCAGGCAACCTTCTGTGTTTTTCTTTCCATCAGCATGTATTTCGGCTCATTTCAGACTCTTCCAGTGTGTGCACTTGTCCTCTGACTGTGTGTGTTCCGTTGCTGTCAAGGTTTCAAGGGAGAAGTATTTAGTCCTTGAGCAGTTTGATAATCCTATCTCATCTGTGTTTTGCCTCCTTGTCCTTTCACCAAATTCCAGCTCAGTCCTAAACTCTTAAAAGCTGTAAGAGCACTTGGCACTACTCATTCTCCCTCCCTGCCTGCCTCCTTTCCTCCCTCTCGCCCTGTGTGCTGTCCATCAAGCCCTGCCTATAGGAATTGGAACGGCAGCCTTTATCGGCTTGTAAGCACCTCACATTGACATACAACCCCCTGTCTGTTGGCCAATGTTACGGCTACAAGGCTGGAGTTTGGACCCGGAGAGCACGGCCTTGTCAATATTATGGCTCGCTAATGGATAAACTCTCACTCCAACCTTGGCAGTAAAGACATTCATTGCATTTTGGGGGCGGTGCACTTGCAAGAATACGCTCCACAGAAGATCTCTGCAATGTGTTCACGTCAAGGGAGAAGCTGTGAATGAATATGAATGGGACATCTTCGGAAGATTCTCCGTGGTGATATAAATGCCTGGTAGCAGTGTAGGCAAGACCCAGCGGAAGTGTGTTTGTGTGTCTGTGTGTGGGTGTGAATGATGCATCTGTGACTGGCTGGCGAGGCCCTATATGAATACTCGGGTCACAGAGACGTATCGTCATGTCAGACTGAATGATGTGTCTGTGAATTGGACCTGAATGGAGCTCTCTGTTTGTTCTCATTCTCTTTCTGTTGCTCTCTTTCTCACTTGATGTCTCTCTCTCTTTCTCTCTCCCTCACTCATACACACTTACACCCTCTGGACTGCGACAGGACTACCAGACACAGGCTAGTGTCCAATTAGACTCCCTCCTTCCTCATGCCACCAAACACCACAGAGGAGAGTGCAAATTGTATTTCCGTTCCACCAACTGTTCTTCCCACCATAATCTGTCTCCCATATTTTAGGACAGTGAGACACATGATTCTTTAACAATCTCTGCGGGGATAATATAAAATTAGAAGTAAACTTTTTGGGGGTGCTAATCCTTTTTTTTCTTTTTCTTTTTTTTTAGCTGCCACAATTAAATTTAGATTTTGCAGTAGATTTTTCTGACAATCTGTAGTACTGGAGTTAAATTTTGAATCTTCATTCACTTGCGACACAAAATACGTCTTTGTTATCTTGTCTGTATGAACTTGACCTTTAAGTAGGCTTAAATTTGGTGTGCAATGTCAGATTATGTTTCAGTTTCACTGAAAAAGATGCTATCTCTGACTGACAGCGTGATGGTTTTGATCTAAATTCCAATTTAGGGAGGAGGATTATATGCTACATTAAGGGAATAATTGGTTACAAGTATGTAATTAACCCTTTTGTAATGCACCATAGAGATGCATATTGATGTTTGCCGGAGCAATGACAGCAGAGATGTGAAGTGAGGATCTCCAAACAATAGGCGCTGTGAGTTCTATGGGGAGAAATCAATACCTGTCACAGCATCCAATTTAATGAGAACCTTTGTTCTCCTCTGAATAGTTTAGTCAGCGTTTGTGCGGAGCCTACAGAGAAGCTATATGTAAATGTACATATATGTGTGTTTTTTCCTGCTTAGGCTGCTGTTAAGAACTTCTGTTTTCATCTTGGCCACAGAGTCCTATTAAGCTGTCACATGCCTTTATAATGGGGCCCAGTGCATGTACATGCTACTATATCACAGTCGCACCACTTTTATTTTCTCCCTCCAGCCTTCTCTCATGCTTCCTTTCATCTTATTACTCAGTCCTTCTTCTCTCTTACGGTTTTTGCCTCCAGCACTCTCCTCCCATATCTTTCTGCCTCACTCTAAGCTGCCAAGCACATAACTTTATCTGCGTGTGTTTGTATGCGGGGTTGGGCAAAAAAAAAAAAAAAAAAAATCCAGACTGTTGTGACATTGGAATGACCTATGAGGAAGAATATAAACTGAGGAGGAGACATGGGATGTTGTTTTAGATGGGAATCAGTCAGATGTGGAAAGGCACCAACCTATCAGTAGGTTTGCCAGACTGCTCCTTTTGATAAGACCATATTAAGCATTTCTCCCAGGTCTCTATGATTCATATGGAGCCGTGAGTCTGATATATAAACAGCTCTCTTTGATGCAGCAGCAGATGACAC